AGGAAAGCTTGTTTCAAGAGATTTGGGAAGATCATAAATGTCTAATCCAGACATGTTATGGGAGATATTCAAGATAGTTGATCTTTGAGTCCTTAATATGACACCCAATATGAAAATATTAAGGCTAGGACCCAACAACTATTTTATAACTTAGAAGAGGTATGCCGTAATCCAAGCTATAAAACAATTTGAAGGTAGGTGAATGACGATTCACCAATTTCCACCAAGATAAACGAAATGTATTATTAGGTTTTAATTGGTTTTGAAACTCCTAGATCTTTTGAGATTCATTGAACTGTTCAATGGCATGTTTCAATCTCGAGTGTGCCCTTCAGGTTTTGTGACTGGGATGCCGAGGATCACAAAACAAGGTGTGAAGTAACCATGCAAATTACTGGGTACCCTTAAGTGTTTATCCCTCAATCGATGTGCCGGTTAACCACACACGCTCCATCGATACTATGATAAACATTAAGTTACCCTTTGCCTACCTTGTTAAATACGAGTTAGTGTGCCGGTTAACCACACGCGCTCCACTAACCGACTCAAACAAAGTGCAAAGTGTAATTTCGTGGATTAGCACCTTATTCACATTTTTCTAAGTAACTAAGATTGGGTATTATTAAAAGTTTAGTTACTTAGTATTTATCATTAATACTTTTAATGAAGGGAGAATTATAGTCATGTCAAACCCGTTCGGCTAACGACCCTCCACCAGTCAAGCAAGCGGTGGGTGAGAGTGGACACCCATTAAGTTGCCATTTTATAGGCAACAACCTTATACCCACCTTATAGACCGGCTTCGTGAATGAGGCGTACTAGCGGTAAGACCGACTTTACTCTTATACATATAAATATTATTAACTTATAATATTATAAAGTATAAGGGTTGAATTTTAACTTTTAAAATTCTAAGGGCTAACTTGGAATTAAAGTATTCATAAGAGAAAACTTTACAAATTCCAAAACTTGAGGGCAAGTTTTGAAACTATTCAAAACTAATTAATTCCATAACTTATGTATTTAAAGTAGTTTTAATCCAAAAACTCTTCAAGTTCCATAACTTGTGGACAAATTATGGAAGACTTTAAACTAATAAAGAATTAACTTTTTCTTTATTTTATAACTTATGGAATTAATTAAGGTTACATATTTTATTTATTTATTTATTAATGAAGTGACTCTTGAACCTCCATAACTTAAGGACAAGACTCTTCATCTTTTTTGTAACCTTTGCCAACTTTATGAGTTTTATGAGTCTTTAATGTGACTCTTCATGTAACTTAAGGATAAGTTACACAAACACATTTTATACTCAACTCTTAGATTAATTTGGATTGAAAACAACTTTTTCACTCAACTTTTCTATTAATCTAAGCAACTCATAAGAACAAGATAATTCAAATCAAACTTTTTCATGTAATTAGTCTAACCTTTAAACTAATACAAAACATGAATCTATTGACAATTATCTTTGAAAATGGATTAGCATGAACATTACCACATTTAAAAACAAGTTTATAAGTTCAAAACAACTTAGGGTAATGTTCCTAGTCCATTTCTAGCCAAAAACCTCGAAGATATGCTGTCTGGGGTCCAACTCGTCGAGTGCATGAACTCAACTCGGCGAGTTGGATGCATTTTGCCTTGGACTCGTCGAGTCCCTTCATGGACTCGGCGAGTCAGCTGGGCTGACAGCATCAAAACTCGATTTTTCAGCTTCTATTGCAGGTATAACAAGAAAACAAGCCTAGGCTCTGATACCACTGTTGGGTTATGAGCATTCTAACACTCCTAAGTGTACATGCAACCCTAAATACCTTGGATCTATGTTTTCTCTATTATACATGCAAATATGAACATCCAAGGTATTATCCTAATCTAGCATACAATATATCAATATAACAAGATAGAATACATACCTCTTTGATAGTGCTTGTCTTCATGAAGCTTGAGTGCTAGTGCCCCAAGTGTGACACCTCAAATGGTTCACACAACACCATAAGCACTTGGAATAACTTAGAGAGAAATTAGAACACTTCATGAAATCGTGTAGCCCTCATACATACACATAGTGTTAGTCACGATTTCTTGAGCCATGGGTTTCTTTTATATGGTGGCTATTAGGGTTACACCATGTAACTCATGACTTTACCCATTCCTTATGCTCCATGGGTTTTAACCTCCATGGAGTATCCATGGGTCACCCCATGGACTTAGTCCAACATAAGGAATCTTGGATCACAAGCCCACATATATAAGAATGAATGATTTACACAATCAACCCATATATTTAATTAGTCTTCTTTTGATCACTTAATTAATTCTAGATTAATTCTTGATCAATACTAATTAAATAATCTCATTATTCTTATTATTAATATACTAGAACTTATAATATATTAATAACCGTAAGTGTCTTATTTCTCTCATTATAGTCTATCCAAGTGCATGATGCCATGCAACCCAAATGGACCATGCCGGGTCGGGTCAAGTCTTACCAATTATAGTTATGGACTTAGACATTAATCCAACAATAACATGTAATGGTATCTTGGGAAAAACTTACTTGAGCTCGGCTGATTGCACGCATCACACACCTTGTTCTTTTTAAAATTCTTTTCTCTTTCAAATTCTTGTGAAACTTCTTTGTATAAAATGATTTTACTTTTGAAAATTTTCATACCAAGTCCTTAGTTTGAGTTCAGACACACCCGTGTGTGTACCCGAATCCCTCAAACCAAGGCTCTGATACCAACTTGTAACATCCAAAATTCAAGGCCAAAATTTTCATTTTTAAGTAGGTTATTACATAAAACCCAAGTGTTAATAATCCAAGATATAACATTATGAAACCATATCAGAGTATAATCCCAAGGATCCCGTGTGCAGAAAACATAGTGTGATGTGCTGCGACCAAGACGACTCCTTTCCTTTGTAACAAAGTACCTAAAACCAAAACTCTAAATCGTAAGCACGAAGCTTAGTGAGTTCCCACAGCTATCGGTATCTTTCAACCGGCAGCTGGGGACTATTTCACCCCTACCACAATCACATAATAATGTATCCTGATCATACTAATCGCATACTAACATTATAAACATACGGATCACATACTAACATCATAACATATTGATAATATACTGATCACATACTAATATCGTATCATACTGATCACATACTAACATCGTATCATACTGATCACATACTAACATTATATCATAAATAGATAGATAAACATTGAATGGGTTATGTATTCCCCTTCGGTATCTTCCAACCGATAACTGTCATCGGTATCTTTCAACTGGTATCAATCATCGGTATCTTTCAACTGGTAACTGCCATCGGTATCTTTCAACCGGTATCCATCATCGGTATCTTTCAACCGGTAACTATCATCGGTATCTTTCAACTGGTATCCGTCATCGGTATCTTTCAACCGGTAACCAGGGACTATTTCAACCCTAACACTATCATATAATAACATGATATAACCATACAATTAGGCATATCCGGGGTACTGACCTACCCTCTGGTCCTAACAATCGAGTCAGGAAAAACTATTCCTTGCTACTACCATGAACACACATAGCATATCACTTAAGCATATCTCACAAGCATATCAGATAAGCATACCAAGATAATTATCACAAAGACAACTATCTACCAACTACCCCTGTTGGTGGGCAGACATTGTGGCCTTAGACCCCCTACTGGAAGGTAAATCACCTCGCACTACTAAAGTTCCAAAGACTCAATCCCTCGTTGTTGAAGTCCCGCAGACTCAACCCCAGCTGTTGGATGACTGATTTCCAAACTATCAATACCAAAATAACACCCAATTAATAATTGGGTTCCACTACATAACCATTAGTACATACTTTGGATATTTACTACATTACCCCAAGCTTGGCTTTATACAAGCCCAAGGCCCAATCCATAGGCCCAAAGCCAATTAAGAATCAAAACCCAACACATGGCCCAATTTTCCAAATTAGGCCTAGGCCTATACATGGTCTCAATCTAAAGCCCAACAATACACCCATGTGAAATTAAGGTTACACATAAAATGACGATTAGGGTTAAGTGTTTCTCACTTAACCCATTAAGGACTTAGGGTGTGTTTGGGATTGCTTTGTGAACATAAAAGTCTTTTTGTAAAAGAACTTTGTCTAAAAGATGGTGTTTAAAATGTGTTTGGCTTGTCTTTTATGACTTTTAAGTGATAAAAGCTAAAAGTCACAAAAAGGTAGGAATTCTTATCTTTTCTCCAGCCAACTTTTCCTTCTTGACTAAAAATTAGTTTTAAAAGATCTTTTTAATTTGCCAAACAACTTTTAGTAATTTTTAACTTTTTGAAAAAGTTAAAGTCAAAAAGATAATTAAAAAGAAATGTCAAACACCCTCTTAATTCATTAAGGACTTAATCCATTAAGTCCATCATTCTTCTAAATAAATCATATCATTCTTCTAAATAAATCATGTGGTGTGATTGGGCTTAATCACACAATTCCATTATTCTAATAAGCCAAAAGTAGGTCTCAATAAGTCCAAGCCCATAAATCCAATATTAAGGTTTTCTAAACCCTAATTAGGATTTCAAACTCCATCGTACTCCATTAGGCCAAATTGATATGGCCAAATTGATATGCCTTTTGATCAATTAAAGTTAACTAGACTCATTAAGGTTTCACTAGACCCATTAGTCAGCTGTTTAGGCTTTTAGGTCCATTAAGCTTCATTGAACCCCTTAGGGTTCATTAAGCCCACTAAGTCTCATTGAGCCCATTAGGGTTTCTTTAGCTCCTTGACCAAACATCCCATCAGCTCAAAACACTATCAAAGCACATCGCCACCTGACACGTCGGCCCGTTGCGGCAGCCACCACCCTAAGGTGGTGGTTTTTAGTTTCTTTCCATTATTCAATTTGTAATTTACACCTTGCTGAAACTCAAAATAAACACATACACTAAACAACATAAAACACGCACAGCCACCCTATGGTGGCCGACGGTGGCAGAAGGTGGCTTGCGATTTCCGGCCAAACAACCCATACAACACCTTCTCACAGTAGAAATACCCACACTTACACGCACCAAACACACACACAAATCCTTTTTTTTGGACAAAAATACCCAACACCCACCTGCGATGGGTGGCACCGACAGCAATACGAGATGATGGCAACAACATCAAAGTTAGCGGCGATAGGCAGCTGGTCGACAATGGAAAGGATCAGCAGCAGCGGAAAACAGCGACTCTATGGCGGCAGATGGGCTTACCAACGAACTTCCGGTCACTCACGACCCTCACAGTAGCAAAACTCACTTGATTATCGGTCTTGGCAGCCATCTCGGCAAACGCATCGATTCCGGTAGCGGGGCTGTGACGGAGGCAACCCCCGGCGAAGTAGCAGCGATTGAAGTCGTCCCAAAGGTTGTGGCGGCTAGGGACCCTTACTCCGACTTGGTCTCTAACATGTCTCTCGGTTAGGAGGATGGGCACGACTGTTGGCTTCGGTGGTCATAGTCGTCGGCAGCTGATCGGAGGTGGGGAGACATAAGAGTTGAGTGGCGGCTGATGTTCTATTTAGGTTAGGGTTCGCATGGTGGAATAAAGTGATGGGTTTAAGGGGTGTTTGGATTAGATTTTTAGCTTATTGCTTATAGCTTATTTGTGGTGGGAATAAGCAATAAGCAATAAGCATGGGGAGGAATGCTTATTAAAATTAGCTTATTTAGCATAATAAGCTGGATTTTATCCAAACACTTAAATTAGCTTATTGTGGGAATAAGCAATAAGCACCTCTTTTTTCCTATCCAAACACCCCCTTAATACTCGTATCCCATACAAACTTTGCGTCAAAATAATACCTTTGATCCCTCCTTCTCATTTTCTTTTCAAGATTAGGCTACAATTTACCATTTAAACCCTACCCTTTGAAAACCTTTGCAAAATAAGTCTGGATTTTACTAAACAGCCCCCAACTTCTAAAATCTTTACAAAACTAATCCAAAATTTACCTTTTAAACCCCCAACTTTCAATTATGACATATTCAGCATTTCCATCTCATTTCCTTTTCAATTAAACCCAAATAGTTACCACAGAGCACGTGACTTCATTAATATTTATAAACTGAGTCCGTAACTTACACTTTTAACCCCCGACTTCTAAAATGTGGCAATTAACTCCCCAAATCCAACGCCCTACATATATAATTGTTTATTTTAGACTACCATTCGTCCATTAATTAATTTATTTAACTAATAAATAAACGGGTGTTACACGGTGAGTCATAACCCTAGACCGGTCCTCTAGTCTTCAAATATTAATGCTTGTACTTTAAGATTAAAACCAGATTAAAATTGATCGAAAAATATCTTAAATCAAATTATTTTATTATTATATATTTTAAAGCTATTAACTAAAAAACCCTAATCTTAATATATTTTTTATGTGGTAATCATGTAAACTATACGGCTAATCATAATAAATGGGCTGACTACTCATAAAAATCAACACCATGAAGGTTTTGATACGTTTTCCATCATTCTTTAATAAGAGGTTGTAAGAGAGTTTTTCCGAGTTGGAAGATGAAAAAACGAGGGTTATCCAAAAAGAAAATGGTATTCATACTTGTCTTTTTCAATTTCACATGGTCAAATATCATATGGAAGTCCATCTTCGAATGTACAAGTCTTTTATGCACAAGTCGTGCATTAATGACTTGAAAGTTCGTAGATGGACTTCCGATTTCATAGATGGTCCTAATGATCTGCAATTTTAGTGGCTATTTTTATGTAATTTGCTAATTTTTGGCTATTTTTAGAAAAATAATTAGAAATTTTTGCTATATTTGCAAATCTCTATAATATATCCCTTTATTAAGAATTAACAATCCCTTTCATTATCAATAGATAATCCATAATCTTAAATTGACACATTTTACCAAATCAAATATCACTTAACAATTTTGTTAAAGAACTTGTTTTGTAATGATATTCTAACCAATATACAAATTCACAACAATTTTTACCAACATTTTCAAACCCTAGCCAACAGTTAGGTACTTTATCATTTTGATTAAGATTTGGTTTAATCTTTCAGATCTTCATTATCTACTAACATATACACCATCTTTTATCAACAAATCTTTGAAATACATTAACATTTCATACTATCACCAAATGCCATAAACCTAAATCAATTTTAATTAGAATCGAATTGAGGAGATATCGAGTAAGATGTAAATTCACCAATTAAAAATTTAAAAGAATCGAATTAAATTAACGATATCGAATAACAACACCAAAAAATATCCATAGCTATTTCAGATTTTCTTGTAATGTACATTTACACTCCAACATTATTGTAAATAGTGAAATGAAAAGCAACAAACATCACATCTACAAATCTATACATAGACCTTCAACAATAATATTACAAAATCAAATAATCGGGCATCCATCAACCACGATACCTTTAGCAGCAGGACAAGAAGCCAAAGAACAACCATCCGGTTTACTTCCCCACCAATTTAAACTAACTCCCTCCATATCCAAACTAACATACAACAACACCCCCATAAACGCCAATCCTGCATCTAAAGCCCCTGACAACACATAATTATGTCGGCCCCACCAGTTATGATGGTATCTATACGCTACAAATCCCGATAAAAAACCAATAATAATCCAACTGTTGTAGTTCACAGAAGTGGCAGGAGGCATGTTGATTGTTGCACCTAATAAAACTGGTGTTGTGATGAGTTTAATCCAGTTTTGAGTAGGAAAAGCCTTGTGTAAGAGCCAAACTAGAATAGGAGCAATTGCTCCTGCTAAAAAGAACCAGTTTATGGAGTTGTAGTAGCCTAGATTACCAAAGATTCTTTGGGGACCAATTAGACCCCATATGACTGAGGCGTCATAGAAGACATGGTCACCCGGGCAGGTCCATGGGCTGCCCGGGGGCAGCAAGGCTCTTTCACATATGTTTGGGACTGTGTCCATTAGCCACCATGCGGTTCCTAAGTGCACCAGTGCTGATATCAGTGTCCCGCATATCTGATCACATTGATTAAAAGTGTAGATTTAGGAGTAGAGTAGTGGATGTGTGTTAGCTGTTCTAAATAAAAAAAAATAATAATAAATAAATAAATCGGTGAAGGGAAGGAACCTGAGCCATGAACATTGATCTTGGAGGGATCTTCATGTAATGTCCAAGTTTGAAGTCATGTAAAAACGCGATCCCTTGTTTCACACTAATGTATCCGTAAACCTTAAAACACATGTTGGCCACAGGGTATCCTGGGTACAAGTATCCTATGATGTACTCCGTAATCACATTCAACCCTGGTGTCTGTTGCATAAACACCAAATTACCAAAATACCCATGTTACACCTCCAAATATAAGATACCAATGTTAAACATCGTAAGTTCATAACATAGGTTACAAGGTTCAAGTCTTATGCGAGCCACCTAGTGGGCCAGTGTGTACCTGATTTACATCTCACATAATGTTTTAACAGTGTGGGCCAGCTCAGGGGTTATTAAAAAGATAACTCTTTTGAAGAAATATTATTAATTTATTATAGTATAGATTATAGAATCCAAGATACCTGGTTTGTTGTGGCAGTGATGACACCAATAGGAAGTGTGAAAAAAAACGAGAGTCCACATGCCAACAAGAACGCCCACCATGGTAATTGAAGTTGAGTTTTATAATATTCACATACGAATAACGTTGCAACAATATTTGTCAACAGAATACAAGTGAACCACCACTGTGGCACTTGTTTATATCGTCTCATAAGCCTACTATGCACGTCCATATTCTTTTCTTGAAATGCAGACTTACTTAGATCCCATATTTCTCTACACCAACATAAAAACATTACATAAAACATTGTTCACACTCTAAAAAGATTCAAAAGGGACAAAAGGATTCACACCTCCCATGAAACACCAACACATGGACCACAGTAGCAGTGAGACACGCAAAGCTAACAGCATAAGCCATGGCGAAGAAGATGCTAAGATAAATCTGACCTTCTTGCTCATAAGCAACTGAGTCAAAGTGGAAATTTGAGTCAATAATGGCTGAGGTGTTGTAGGGTTGACCGGTTGAGGTGAAGAGGTCATCTGAGAAGATTGGGAACCGTTTTGCTTCATAGACATTGAACCAGTATGCAAGAGGGGTTATGACATAGGTGACTAGACCATAGCCAACAGCAATGTTGGCAGTGGCGAACCATGGGCTAGCCAGTGGGCTACCGAGGTAAGAGGAAATACTGGACCAGTCGAACCCAATGGCACCCACACCAAGCCCATGGAGGCCCGACCCGATTTGTTGGGCTAATACGGATTTTGGGTAGATCCAACATATCCATGAAAGGGAGGAAAGCATTGGGAAAAGGTATCCTGGGAGGACGTAGTAAGCAAAACTGCAAATGAAAGCAATTAGGAAAAACTCATTGCGAGTTAACCCACCCTTTGGCCTCTTCTCTCTCTCATGTAACGCCCTACAAGATTAAAATAATAATAATCAATGTTATGTTGTTAGGTATCATATCATATATGTAGTTTTTGATTTTCTATCCAAAAGAATTGTTTAAGAGAGAGTGATTTTCATTCATGATACACAGTTATACACTATCATAAATGCACTACAGTAAACACATTTTTTTATCTCTTTTTCTTTTCAGGTATGAGGTATGGTCAACAATGGTTTAAAACATGTTGGCTTTCAAGAATTTATAGAGTAAATTTCAAGATTCTAATTAAGCACAAAAGATTGGAACTTTAGAATGTAAAAAGTGGTCAGAATTGAATGAATAGTTCCATTTTGCAAGGTGTACCTGAAGAGGGAAACTTGGACAAGATTTTGAGGCCACCACATGGCGGCCGGCTCCACCAAATACCGACGGAAGATCCCGGCCCAACCAAACCCCAATACCTGCGTCGTCACCACTACAATCAACGACACCCAAAAAGTCAACGTCTTGCCGTAAAATATCTTCACGGCGCTCACAATATGAATCGCGTAAGGATTTCCGGCGCCGGAGTTGGCGAAGATCGTGATCAACACATGTTCTTTCACATTGAAAGGTCCGGGGTTGAGTGAGAATTCGTACTTCTTTCCCTGGAAGAAAACCCTATCAGTAATGGTCGCCGCCATGAGGTGGCCAAGAGGGACGACGGCGATCTGAGCTGAAATCGAGGTTATCGAGAGAGGCTCACGGCGATACCAGAAGAATTGATTGAGGAAAGAAAGTAGCACGCAGGCGACTGTCCCGAGCGTCCACATCCTGAACGTAACCACCGGTAAACTCGGGTCGTCTGTCACCGGAACCGTGAGGGCAACTTGCTCTATTGGCGAGTTCTCCTCCGGCGCGGCGGAGGTGGAGGTGGAGGTGGATCCATCGATTTGGGTGTTCTTCAAAACTGCACATTTACAAATTAATTCGGAGAAAAATCAAACAGAATCGCCAGA